GTCCATTGTACCAGCAGGAATAACAAAGCTAGTGAGGTCAGTGGTAACATCCTCTGGAGGTCCACAACTCTGTCGGACTGGTAAAGGTTCTGATGGGGATGATTCAGATCTGAAACATGGAAACAAAACCATCATGTTCAGCTCTGGACTTGTTCCAGAACCAAACCTTTAGAACTTTAAGACTTCTGGTTTAATTCTCCCACTGAGCTCTTTGGGTTTCTCTAAGTTTAGATCTTCAGCCCAGGTCCAAAAGTCCTGAGAACACCACACACTCCTCCTCGTTATGATGGCAGTTTGTGTCAAAACCAGAATGTTCTGAAGACAAATAGTCACAGTCGGATCCTCCCAGGGTTCTGACACTCTGACGGATCCGGGTCTTTCTGGTAAATCAGACTCACCGATTCCATTTCTAACGACTGCGGTTTTCTCTGACACCAAACGGGCTGAAGATCCCATGAAGAGTTTCCATTGGATCAGAGCTTCCACCTGCTCCTGTGAGGTTTGGGTCAGAACTGTCAGGACGATGGTACCGAGCCAGCTCTCAGGTGGGCGCCACAGCATGAGCTCATCACCACAGAAATAACTTGGTACTTTTTCCAAACACCTTGAACGCATTCCCAGCGCGGAGTCAGAAGTTTGGGTGGAGGCTGGAGAGGCTCCGGGTCGGACCGGACCGGAGCTGACAGAAAGAGGAAAGTTTAAAAATACAAAGAGCTCTTTGGTTTGTGTCGGTTCAGGAAGGAGGGGATGGTGACAGCACTTGGTTCTGAGACGGGTCCGATTCTGGATGATGAGGAACAGAAGGAGCATTCAGACTCTGAAGTTAGAACTGGATCGGGCTGTCAGATCCACTTTGAGCTGTAATAAGGAAACTTCATCTGGGACTCGGGAAGAAGTTCTGATCCAAATCCCTCATCGTAGATCATTATTAGTATAATTAATGTCGTCACAGAGCTAAAAAGGATCAGAGATGGAAACCAGCTAATCCTGCTGCAGCAGGTGGAAAGATTTATAAAACAAGGACCGCCGGGAAACCGGGAGCTGTTTTAGGACGACACTAATTTAGACAGCACATCCCTAACTAGTCAGATTGATCCTGAGGTTTATTTTATAGATGAATACAGCTCCAACCAGCTGATCCCTTCTTCAGTGCCTGACAGGAGGAGAGAGGCTAAAGGACAGGACTTTAGAGTCCAGGTGAAGAATCTGTTTCTGTGGAGTGTCTTCAGTCAGAAACAAATGTGCTGAGCTCTCAGTAAAGCCTTATAAATGAACCCTGTTAAACCCAGAGGAGGTTCCTGTGTGGAGGAGTGGACCTCTAACTACATGTTCTGGTCTTACAAAGCCATAAATCAGCTCCAGCTCCATCAATCACCAAAGAGAAGTTTCCACAGTGGAGGTGGAGCAGGAAAGTAGGTCACAGAGAATCTGAATGTTTCTCACCTCAGTCTGCAGCTCGCTGACTCAAACAATAAGCCAACCCATCACCTCACGTTCTCTGGCTCCAGATGTTCACACCTGCAGATCTTCAGTTAAAACCAGGTATGGAGTCTACCTGAGCTATGTAGCTCCAGAGGGGGCGGAGCATTTTCACCTGTTATAGTAAAATCTCCCTGATGTCTACAGGGACGTTCAGGTCTTGTGTAAAACAGACCCAAATGCCCTCACACACACATGATGGACGTCCTTCTACTGTGAACTTAAACAGACTTTTCTCTTGTTGAATAAATTTAAATTATAAAGATGATAAATTAATTATATTCAGAGAATACATGACTCCAAGCCTCTCTATCTCTCTCTCTCACACACACACACACACACACACACACACACACACACACACACACACACACACACACACACACACACACACACACACACACACCTCCAAGTAAGCCCAAACTTTTCTGTCATCTGAAATAATCCTGACCTCCTCTGTCCTCCACACACTCGGAGAGGTGACTCTTTTCCTCTCAGGAACTCAATGGCGCCACCTGCTGATCCAGAGTCTGAGCAGCTGTTAGAGGGTTCTTCTTCAGGAGGCTGGTGATGATCATCAGGAGTCCACCAGGGTTTCAGAGGAGTTTAATTACAGAAACCTGCTGATTCTGATCCTTATCTCTGGGTCAGAACCAGTAGGAACATCTGGATCAGAACACCTGTTCTCTTGCTCAGACCAGTTAGTCTGTTATTGTTGCTAAGGTCATATCGGGGGAGCTTCTGTAGAGGATCACAGTCTAGGGAGACAGCTTGTCCTGCTGACTCACACCCAGGCACCACCAGTCCGTTTAACAACAGCTGATGTTTGTGATTGCCCCTCATCATCTCTGGTCGATGATAATGAAAAATCCATTAATAGCAGCTGCTGATAATGAATACCTGACCGTCTCTGATGTCTTCTAGTTTCCTCACTAATAAATTCTGGTTTCTGATTAGAAACGGGTTGATTCTTCATCTGAATTGGACCAATCACAGCTGGTGATGTTCAGGGAGGAGCTCCATGCACGTGGACCCCCATAATGCTGTTGGAGCTTCATGTTGTTGCAGTAGGATCCATAATGACCAGATTCAGGTCAGAGACTTTGGTCACTTTTCCTCTTTTTTCTTTTTCTCCTCCTTTCTTTAAATGTTAACTAACTTTTTCTTCTTCACTTCTGCTTTTTAATCCACATTTAAATCACAACAAGAGTCGTCTTAAAGAGCAAGTCACCCCCTGCTTACTCCACTCTCACTTCCTGTTTGAAAAATGCAACAAATGCAGTTGCCTACACACACACACACACAGGCTCACCGCGGCATTGTGACATCATAATGTACCAGCTAACGCCATAATGTACCTCTTAGCCAATAGCGATGGCAGAATTAAATTCAACACTGACAGTTTTAGGCAGAATATTTAAATTTGAACTAAGATGCACTAAAGTGCCAAAATATTGACTGCACTATTACTGCACATGTCTACAGCACAATTACACTTGTTTATATAGTTTATCAGTAAAATAAAGTTGATTTGGGAGTGACTTGCTCTTTAAGGCACTGTACAAAGTAAGCATTCCAACTGAATCCACTTAACAGTGCATTGAGTTCAATTAATTATTCAAACTATTTCAATTTCCCATTTAAGGAACCCAGCAGGTTGCATCGAGTCACTGACTAGTGTCTTTACAGCAATCCTCTTACTAAGCAAGCATGCAGCGACAGTGAAGAGGAAAACTCTTAATAGGAAGAAACCTCCAGAGGATCCTGGTTTCGTTTGAGCAGCCATCCGCTACGACTCACTGGGGATGGAGAAGATAGAGCAGACACACACACTTTCAGAATAGGACGAGTAGTCAAAAATAAACATCGTCATATCCTCATTTAAAGGATCATAAAGAATGAAGTCGATTGGGCAAGAACATAGGGCAGCTGGCATCAGAGGTCCATATGACTTCATCAGTGGAACTTATGAGGTGCTTAAATAGGTCAAATATTCCTCTTCATTGTGGATTTAATCTGATTATGTGACACTCGAGATTAGGGATGCCCAGATCTGATCACGTGGTTTCAGAGTCGATCGGGATCAGGCATAACTTCCCGATCCAGACTCGGATACAGGGTTCAAATTACAGGAGAGCTAAGGTTGAAAGGTCGTTGGGCTCTCCTAAAGCCCTCAACTTGCACACCCAAAGGGAGCCTGAAAAAGATCCTGTTTCTACCTACGTTTCCTTATTTATACGGACTCTCAGCGGAGACCGGGAGACACAGAGATGATTACTCATGCGCTCCGGGCAGCTGTGTCCCTGCTTAAGTGGCCAAAAATGGATGGATGGACAATTCAGATCAGCTTCAAAACTCAGCGCTGTATCAAGGCCTTTTGGGGGTCAAGGCAAAATAGACCCCTGCTTGGTGTTTGAAGTTGAGGTGCTATTTGTTTTTATATTAGATTTTTTTATATTTGCACTAAAGTCCAAAAGTGAAGAATTTATGTTATTAATTACTTGATTGTTCAAGCTATCTCACAGAAGTGATCTGTTTGTTAAAAGAGTTGTTAAAAGTATAAATAAAGCTAATTAAATGAAATATATGAAACAGTCTGGATCTGTTTCTTTGCTTTCTTTATTCTTTTTTCATGTATCAAAAGTATCAGATCAGGACTCAGTATTGGCAGACTCTCTAAATCAAATTACTCGGACTCGAGGGCAAAGAAACCTGATCGGGACACCCCTACAAGCTAGGTAACTTTAGAGCTTGGGCGTTCCATATTCCAGTTTAAAAACAAACACTTGTACTTTGTTTCATTGACTATCAACTGAAAAGCAGTTTTTCTTTTTACCAAGAACAAAAATTCTGTTGTATTTTTTTCTGTAAGAGACACACTCTGACACATCAGGTGAAAAGTTCTGGTCTCAGCAGTGGGGAGATCAAATCTTCTACAGTCATAGGGTTAAATGGATCCACAGGTACAACTATCTGTTTGAAAAAATGTCCAAACGGATGCTGATCGGTGCTCCGTCACGAGTCTTTTCGTCAAACATCCAGACAACCCCGAGAAAATCTTCCAGGAACTCTCGCACAAACACTCTGTTGGATGGGAACTCTGTAAAAATATTTCCATTTTATTTTAGAATGGTGTGACAGCACACACTTACACATCACACTGTTGTTGCTCTAGAACAGCATAAAAAACACACAATAGAAAACACAGAGACAACAGCAGCCCTTCACAAAAGTCAGAAATCCCACTGGATGGGTGCCCAGTGAGGACAAAAAAGCCTCTGGATTATGGTGAGGTATGGGGGCCAAAATTAAGACTACTGCCCAGCAGCAGGAGGCTATATAAATTCCGAAGCAAACTACTGATCTGATTAATGATAAGCTGGCGCCGGTAACTGAGAGGCTGGCGCTGCTTACTGAGGAATAGCACCTTTACCGTCGTTACTACTAGATACGCTAGGGACTAGCAGCCCTTGGCTGGTCATTGACTGGTTCACACACTCACTCTGCTGTCTATTAGCATGGATAGGCTAGTGTTAGCCTGGACGGGCTGGTGTTAGCATTGGAGAGGCTAGCCATTAGCGTGCCTAGGATGGCCACTAGCTGGATTTCCTACCTCCTCGACAGACTATTAGCATGAATAGGCTGGCGTTAGCATTGGAGAGGCTAGCCATTAGCGTGCCTAGGCATGCCACTAGCTGGATTTCCTACCCCCTTGACGGATCTTAGTCATGGATAGGCTGGCGTTAGCATCGGAGAGGCTAGCCATCAGCATGTCTCGGAGAGTCACTAGTCAGCTAGTGGCCAGCCTAGGCACGCTAATGGCTAGCCTCTCCGATGCTAACGCCAGCCTATCCATGCTAATGGTCCGTCAAGGGGGTAGGAAATCCAGCTAGTGGCCAGCCTAGGCACGCTAATGGCTAGCCTCTCCAATGCTCCAATGCAAAGCCCGTCCAGGCTAACGCTAGCCTATCCATGCTAATAGACAGCAGAAGGAGTGTGTGAACCAGTCAATGACCAGCCGAGGGCTGCTAGTCCCTAGCGTCTCTAGTAATAACGCCGGTAAAGGTGCTATTTCTCAGTAAGCAGCGCCAGCCTCTCAGTTACCGGCGCCAGCTCATCATTAATCAGGTCGGTAGTTTGCTTCAGAATTTATGCAGCCTCCTGCTGCTGGGCAGTAGTCTTAATTTTGGCCCCCATACCGCGCCATACTGGATGACTAATAAATGTCAGGGCCGTCAGGGCTTTCCGGTTAAAAAGCAAAACAACAACCAGACAATCATTAACCTGCACAAAGAGAAATTTCAAGTAAAAAGAAATTAAGAAAAGATATATTGAAGCAGAACTAGACCGGGTCTAACCGAGATCGCCGAGGTAACTAATGTTACCAAGATACCAGGAATAAAACATCCTTGTAGGTCTCATGCACAACCCACATCATGGGTAGGATCCAAACTCTGCAGGAACAAAACAATATTTTTTATTGTTGAAGTTAGTTCTGAAAACACAAACACAAGACGAGCTAGACAACTCAGAAAGGTCCGAATCTACCACTCACACAGAAATGTAAACATTCGAGACAGCAAAGCAGAACGGAGCTCAGGTGTTAATGAGTGAATTTACAGGAGAGCAGATTTACATCAGAGACTCTGAGGTTCTTCCCATCACACTCCAGAAGAGCTAACAGAGCAGTGAAGGCACCGACAGGGAGAGACGCTGCAGGTCACCGCTCCAGAAACACAAGAAAACACCAGAATGGTTTCCTCAGCAGCAGGGGACACCGGCCGGTCAAGTGTAAGCAGATTATCCAACAGGAAGTGTAAAACACGTCATCAGCAATGAAGGTGATCAGCGGTTTGAAATGAGCAAGTCAAGTGTTCATCCAAAATACAAAAAACAAAAAACAAACAAAACAAAAAAAAAGTAAAAATCAAGTAAAGAGAAGTCAAAGTTCACTTCCATCCCAGGAGGAAACAGAAAGAATAAAAAACTCCAACATCTGTCAGCATCTAGTCACCTCCAGTCCATCCAGAGGGTAAAGTCCTCCTCATTTCTCCTGGTAAAGTCTGGGTTCAGAGGGAAAATGGTGTTAAAACAACAAGCTTTACATAAAATTAAAAAAACAATCCTTTAAATTATAAGTTTCCCATTTCTCCCCCTAGCGGTTTAACCGTCAGGCTTCGTTCGGGACATTTTTGTACATTTGGGCAGGTTTTTTTTTTTTTTTTGCTTTTCTTTTGGATGCCATTTCAACATTGTTTGTGCATATGGTACAAAAGTTAGTCGCAAAACCTCTCTCTGGATAAATTTTGAAATTCAAATTGCAATTTTGAAAATAAACCAAGGGAACACTATGAAAAAAAAATAAACCCACTATACACTTGAGTCTTTATAGGACAAAAACGTCCGCTGGTAAAAATGGCTATAAAAATGTATGCATTAATATTTTCTTTTGCTTTTTTTCATAGTTCTGTTAAACAACTTCAGCCCTGCTCAAAATATAAAAACTTCCACTATTTTGAGGATTTTAATCCTTCAAATATTGGTTTGATTACTCAAAGTCATTGCTATAATTTATGAAAAAACACGAAAAATTTGTTATTTTCCCAAAAAATAAAAACTTTTTCTTCCTGATGCATTTATTATAAATCAGTCTTGGTTACGTTATGAAATATCTAATAAATACAAATGTTTGCATCAGTAGCTTTTGTGTAAAAACAGATCGATCTGAGCGGACAAAAACGTCCCATTGACTTCCATTCAAACCACAGTTTTCGATCCTGTAACATCTGCAACAAATACTCCTGCTTTCTGTGATATCAGGGTTTCATTTTGGAGAAAAGTAGTCTCTAATTTCCCTCTGGGATTAATAAAGTATTGATTGATTGATTGATTGAAATGTATGGTTTTTATTGTTCACCACCATATTCAGTCCTTTCTCTCCATATGTGGCCCAGGCGAGAAACTCTACACATTTCTTTAGATCTTTTGCTGTTTGTACTGAAGTCAAAAGGTCAACCAGACCTCTGGTGAGTATGTTTATGTTTATGTTTATGTTTATTTATTTGGCAGACGCTTTTATCCAAAGCGACTTACAATTTATAACCTATAGATAAATAAATGATAAATGATAAATGACCCGCACTTGTATAGCGCCTCTCAGAGTAAGGACTCCAAAGCGCTTTACACTACAGTGTATCATTCATCCATTCACACACACATTCACACACTGATGCTGATGAGCTATGATGTAGCTACAGCTGCCCTGCGGCGCACTGACAGAGGCGAGGCTGCCGAGCACAGGCGCCACCAGTCCCAGCAGGCAAGGTGGGTTAAGTGTCTTGGCCAAGGACACAACAGCAGAATTCTCTGTCCGGAGCCGGGATCGAACCTGCAACCTTCTGATGACTGGAAACCCACTCAACCTGTTGAGCTACTGCTGCCCCATGTTGTGATCTGTGGGGTAAACCAGAGTACCCAGAGGAAACCCATGCATGCATGGGGAGAACACGCAACTCCACACAGAAAGGGCGCAGCCGAGTTTGTAACCTGCAACCTTCGTGCTGCGAGGCAACAGTGCTAACAACTGCGCCACCATGCAGCCCAGTAGATAAAACACAGTTTCACTCTCTCACTGAACTTCAAAGTGTAGAAAACAAAATCAATTGGTATGTTATTGCACCTGGCTGGAGCTCAGATACCATCAAACACTTTGTAGTTTGATTATCTGGTCAACTCAATTCCGTTACAACAAAGGAGCAAGATAAGTATGCAACTTGTTCTGGATTAGATCCTGCAGCCTGAAACTTCTGGAGAAACTATCTGTCTGGTGTGGACTTTGTAGTGGAGTCAGATTATTCTGTTTCCTCTACTTCAGATCTTTCCTCTGAATGTGAGAGGAGGTTAATGAGTCATGCTACAGGATAGATTTCAAAAAGTGGGCATACCTTGTTTCCAACTACTGCAGACTTTCTAATGCTGGAAGTTAGATTTTTGGGCATTATGCCATCACCAGTATTTACAACATGCAATAGTATTTTCCTTTCAAGTTCTTCCAGTTCAAAGATACAATCTGATCTGGCGCTGGGGTTGATGGGTAGTGTAGTTTGTTTATCCACCTGTGAGGTTAAACTGAACTAAATAAAGAAGAGCACTACAGGTACCTGGAGGTCCGACTGCTGAGCCGTTATGTAGTGGAGCTCCCTCTCCTCTCCAGGAATCTGCTCCACCAACAGGAGAAAGCAGGATTAGTTAGGTTAGATTGTGGCAGACAGACAAACCACAAAATCATGCTGAACATAAACAGAGAAACAGGAGTGACAAGAAGAAGGCCTTCACTGTTATTTCTTTGTGGTTTTACTAGTGGTCAAAGTGGAGAAAAGTTGTCAGATTGTCCATTTGTTTTAAAAGGTTTCCTTCAACAAATATGATGTCATAATAAAACTCAAACTGAGTTAAAAGTGTTGAGTTTCTGCAGTTTGTTCTTCATTTGCTTAGAGTTGATTCTTTCATCATGTTTCATACAAAAAAAAAACACTCACACTTGAGTCTGGCGCATGAAGTCTGCAAAGCGCTGATCTCTGGAACACAACTCAATGATTCTGAGACGCTCCTGGATCTCCTGTGGAGAGGTCAAAGGTCAGTGCACAGAGATCAACTTTATGTAAGATCCCAGCAGGAGGAGGAAAAGGGGGAGGCTGAGCTGCAGGTAAAAATAAGAGCGTAGTACAGACATCCTACTGAGCCTGAAAGCGTCTGAGCCAAAGAAACGTCACAACATTGAGTCAGCTCTGCCAGAAGAATTCAAATCACCCAACCGAATGAAGAAACCGACGCTAAAGCTCCGAGGTGGAGAAAGTCACTTGACAAACAGGAACTCTCTGGAAAGCCCCTTGAGAGTTCACCAAACCAGGAACACTGACACAAACTACAGCAGATAATAAAATGCTGAGGATGGTCAGGAACCATCTGAATTTTAATAAATAGTGAATTATAATTAATCTACTGTGGTTTCAGGCTGTTGCCTGTTGGACATACATTTAGGACCAACTGTTTTGTCTTAAATTATGGTACAAATGAATCTTTGCCCTGAAAAGAGCTTTGCAGCCTTCTTGAAATATCAAAAGTAAAAGAACCTGATCTTTGTTCAGCTATTATATAATCTTCCGTTATCCATTATGCTTTGAGAAGCTTTGTGTACTTGTGGTGTTCCCCAGGGATCCACCATTGGGCCACTTCTGTTTTACATTTATAGGAATGAACTTATAAATGGTAAATGGCGTGTATTTGATATGGCGCCTTCTAGAATACTGGAACCCCCAAGGCACTTTACAACACAATCAGTCATTCACCCATTCACACACACATTCACACACTAGTGGGGATGAGCTACAATGTAGCCACAGCTGCCCTGGGGTGCACTGACAAGAGGCGAGGCTGCTGACCGTTGGCACCACCGGTCCCTCCGATCACCACAGGCAATGGGGGTTAAGTGGCTTGCACAAGGACAGTGACAGACTGAGCGGGGCTCAAACCTGCAACCTTCCAATTATGGGACGAGTACCTTACTCCTGTGCCACCGTCTTCCACAAATAAATAGTTGAATTTTATTTAAAACAAAAAGTATGTATGTTTGTGGTTTCTTACCTCTCTAGTCAGCGTTGTGTTTTGAAGGATCTTCTGAATTTCTTCACTGTTTAAGTCACTGGAGCTATCCTGGGGGAGGGTGGAGTCACAGCAGTAATGGTACTGAGGTGGGGTATCATCGTAGCGATGGTAGTACTGGGCAGTGACTGGGTCATTCTCATACATCTGGTTAAACTTGGTAGCACTTTTCAAAGTTGGAGCACCATCCCCCTGTCTAGAAGAAAAGGAGGGATAACTTTAATGCTGAGAAGTAAATATTCAGATCGAAGGTGACTTTTAAATGTCAGCAGTTTTGTTCACCGAAGAGGATTCTCGGAGTCCTCATCATCATACTGCTCTCTGAGCGTTCTAGCAAGGAAGATGATGATCCCACCAGCCACCAGGAGGAAACCAGCCACCGAGGCGATGGCGATGCCCACCACCAATGGCTCAGAGACGTACTCTTCACAGTGCTCCCCACGATACCACCAGTTCTCTCCTACCCGACACCTGTAGAAAACAACAGGTTTGATCTTGCCTAAAACTCATCGGAAACATCTCACTGTGTTCCTCAGATCACAGCTTCAGCCTCCTTTTAAAAACATATCCTCTTGTATGCAGATGATACTATTATTTATGTATTTTGTATTTTTTTCATCTAGGTTCACCAATTCCCCTAAGAACTCTATTCAATTGATGTTTATGGCATTTATCTGAAAGATTAATTGATAACCATGTATCTGTACAAACTTTACCAATATACAATTGTTATTTCTATGACTTTATATCAGGGCCTTTCTCACAAATAGATGAGTCTTAATAAGCCTTTACCAAGTTGTTGATGGTATTTTTAATAACCTCTCCTTAACATTTCAGTCAGCTCAACCAAGATGACTAGCTTTTTAGTCAGATTTGCAAGTTCAAACTCCTCTTACTATGCCAAGCAAGATGTAAGGAAGTTAAAGGTACAGTGTGTAAAAAAAAACTTGACTCTTTAGCGCCATGCAGTTCAGAATTGGTATTGCACATGGTCGCCCATACACATAAAAGGTCAATTTGTAATTTCCTTCTCCCCTTTCAGCTGTACACGCAATCCAGCAATCACATGAGGTTTGAACAGGGCAAGCAACCCAAGGGGAAGAAGCAGAATTTCCCCAAACCAAGGCTGCCATAGAGAAAACTGTCACCATCCCATGCACAATGTTCAGAGGGAGGAGAACTTTCATGTCAAAGCGCAAATGTGAAACTGAACATTATATCTTGTATTTGCATAAACTGCTTCCATATTTCCAGATGGCACATGTATATGAAAAAATATAAAATTTAAATAAAAAAGAAATAATTAAAATAGATGAGAAATATTAACTCATTCACTGCCAGCCGTTTCCTGATCAAAAAAGCCCTTCACTGCCAGCGTTTTCACTATTGTTTTAAGAGTCACAGAACGTTGCGCTCTATGATGACGCCAATGCCTAAACTAACAAAACAAAGCGGAGACTCACCTCTTACATCAGGAAGAATCTGCGCGTTTCGAGCACTATCCATTCTTTCATAATCCGTTGTCGAATTGTGATCGGCAGAAGCTTTTCCGGTTCACGCCTCACTTTTTTTTTTACAGCGGCGGCCCAAAAAGATCTCCTAACACATGGATTTTCTGCATCCTGATAACGTGATGTGTGATTTAAGCGGATGAAGATCGGCTTTAGAGCTGGGATGTTTGTTCTCACGGTGAGGGGCTTGTTCTGATGCCGCACAGTATAAAAATGCAAATGACTACTTTAGTCATCATTGGCAGTGAACGGTTGGATTTAAAATAACGACTTTAGTCGTCAATGGCAGTGAATGAGTAAATGAAAGTGGAAAAGTTTATGAACGAGATACACAGAATTTTATAGTAAACAAGTAGAAATATTACACACTGTGTCTTTAAGTAGTGGTTGACTTTTCTAAAAGACAAAAGTTCTCCTATTGTTAAGTTTTAGGTCAAACTGCATAAATTCCATTCTCACCTGCAGATGGCGCCCTTCTCAGGAATTATGTCACATTTGCCATCGTTGAGGCAGAAGTCATGCTGGACCTCACAGATGCTCTGACATGGTAAGTCGTCAACACTCAGGTAGCCAGGGTCACAGACACACTCTGCTTCACCTGACCACTGGTTCACCTTGCACTTGGAAAACTCATTACACGCTTGGAACTTACAGGGGTCTGCTCGATCACCTGAGAAACAAGAGAAATACGTAAATGTTGGATGTTTTAGGGGAACGAGACTAACTTACTGCAGCTGTAATATGATAACAGAATCAGATGAGAGACAGCTAAAAACAGATTTACAGAAATGGACACTTTGCTTAAAAGAAACACTAAAGAATTTTTAACATTTTAAGCTATTGCTTTCAAACTTGCTCCTGTGATTCTTCAGCCATACCCTGTAGCAGCTTCACACTGGACAGCAGTCTGCAGCCCTTTGCTGACCAGAAATCGCACTTACAGCTTTTTGGCATGTGTAGGTGCAATAGATGGAGCTTTCTACCTGCTTCACAGCAGTAGCTGTTTACTCTACTGGTAGATAATACAAAGGCTAGCTGTTAGCTTTTATTTGCTGGCATCATGGTGGAGCCTGGAAGTAAAAGTAAGAGAGTAATGACTTTGAAGGCGAAGCAAAGACTTAAAACGAGAGTGAACATGGTGGAGTGGCCTATACACTCAATAGAGGGCGTTAAAGGAGGCAGCAAAATCAGGGAATGGTGGTGACCTGGCTTTGTTGCTTCTTCACTTGTAAGTAATAATATTTTTGTCCAACAGTGTGGATCTTTTCATCTTGTGGCTTATTTTAGTATCAGTTGTCTTGTGTTAGCGTTAGCACTTTCCACTTTCAACCAGTAGGAGGATGAAGCAGAAAACATATTTCGTGTAACTTTACAGTGGTGTATTCTTGACCATGATGATGCAACAGTAGATTTTGCGAGAACCCAAGAACAGGTCTATAGGGAGCCTAAGTCCCTTCCACACCAGGGGTCCCCGGAAAAACGAAAAATTGCATGCAAGTCAATGGGGCTAAAAACGCTATTTTCTAATTTCACTTGATTTGCGCCATGGATTTCACATATGATGTCCGTGAATTTTAAAGACGTATTTTGATACCAAGAACGTGCTTATTTTCGAACGGGGGGGGGGGGGGGGGGGGACACGTTATTTTAAGTTTTATGTGAAAATAAGTCCAGGACTCCGAATGCACCTTCACGAAAGTAATGTCATCGAACCAGACACGGAGAAAACTGAGGGAAAAGGGCTGTAAATTCAGCAAACTTCCCACAGGAGGAAAGAACCACCATAAATCTGGTCATTTGGTAGGTAGCAGCTACGCTAACGGAGAGGAGATTATGTGGTGACGTCACATATGCAACGTGGTGTGTAGTCATGCTAATTACGAACTTTTACAAGCTAATAAATCTCAAAGTACATGACTGGCGTGGTCGAAACACCCATCATTACTTTTTATTTAAATTGCAGTACAACATATGTGTGATCCATGGCCTAAGGCTAAGCAGATTAGAAAATAGCATTTTTAGCCCCGTTGACTTGCATTCATTTTTTCGTTCTTCCGAGGACCCATGGTGCGGAAGTGACTTAGGCCCCCATAGGCATATTTATTCTTGAGTATTAAGTATTAAGTATTTATTAAGTACTTATTCGGCATGTCTCAATTCTGTTCAACTCTGTTTCAATGTGTTTCTATTACTAACAGGTGCCAGGTTGCCATTCCTTTTATAGCACCGCCTTTGATGTGGTTCCAAGTGTACAGAGCAGGGCAGAAAACGTAATGTCAGAGACTTTCAGGCTAGAGGGTGGAGAGTAACCCACATGCCTTTGTACGTCCGCCTTTCTCTGTTGTAATCAAAAACCACCTGAACCATGTAGGGCAGAGTACAGTCTAGCCAAGTGCAGCCATGCTGAGCAATGACAAAGAGCCATTAGTCTGCCAACTGGCTTCATCAGTTAAATATAACCAATGATCTTCTTGTCTTTTGAGACAACTTAAGGTCAAATCAAGGCGCAAAGCTTGGGTTTTGGACCAAACTGAGTTTGACACTTGTGTAAAACTTAAGACACAGGGCAGGGGAGAGTGATAGGAGAGGTTGTTCAAATATGGAAAAAAGAGTGGGGTGGTCAACCAGACACAGGAGAAAAGAAAATCAAGAAAAAGGAGAAATCTTGGTGTGAGCGTGGAGGGGGTGGTGAGTTGGGGGAGGGGGTTCTGTTATCTAATATTATCTCATCCCCTGCCCAGGCAAGGACTGCCACCCAAACATAATAGAGATAGGAGTGGTTGCCCAGATACCAGAAGGGATCAGAGGACCATGAAGTCATCTCCCTTCCTGAAAGATAAGGTTAAGTCATCCTCATACAAAGAAAGTTGTGATTGGGTTCAATCCTTTAGGCTGGTTTGTCTGACCCAGTCTACACTCACTGGCCACTTTATTGGGTACACCGGTCCAACTGCTCATTAACACAAATTACTAATTAGCCAATCACATGGTGGCAACTCTACGCATTTAGGCATGCTGACATGGTGAAGACAACCCACTGCAGTTCAAACCGAGCTTCAGAATGGGGAAGAAAGGAGATTAAAGTGACTTTGAACGTGGCGTAGTTGTTGTTGCCTGACGAGCTGGTCTGAGTATTTCAGAAACTGCTGATCTTCTGGGACTGTCACACACAACCATCTCTAGGGTTTCCAGAGGATGGTCTGAAAAGGGAAAAACATTCAGTGAGCGGTGTTCTGTGAGTGAAAGTGCCTTGTTGATGCCAGAGGTCAGAGGAGAATGGTCAGACTGGTTCGAGCTGATAGAAAGGCGACAGTAGCTTATATAACCATTCGCTACAACCAAGGTCTGCAGAAGAGCATCTCTGACCACACAACACGTCGAACCTTGAGGCAGATGGACTACAGCAGCAGAAGACCACACCCGGTGCCACTCATGTCAGCTAAGAACAGGAAACAGGCTATGATCCATTCCACACAGGCTCACCAAAGTTGGACAATAGAGGATTGGAAAAATGTTTCCTGGTCTGATGAGTCTAGAGTCAGAATTTGGCGTCAACAACGTGAAAGCATGGATCCATCCTGCCTCACATCAATGGTTCAGGCTGCTGCTGGTGGTGTGATGGTGTGGGGGACATTCTTTGGCACACTTTGGGCACCTTAGTACTAATTGACCATTGTTGCTAAGCCACAGCCTACCAGAGTATTGTTGCTGACCATGTCCATCCCTTTATGACCACAATGTACCCATCTTGTGATGGCAACTTCCAGAAGGATAGTACACCATGTCATAAAGCTCCAATCATCTCAGACTGGTTTCTTGAACATGACAGTGAGTTCACTGGACCCAAATGGCCTCCACAGTCATCTGATCTCAGTTCGCTAGAGCACCTTTGGGATGTGGTGGAGAGGGGCATTCCCATCATGGATGTGGAGCCGACAAATCTGGAATTTAACCACCCACCTGTCTAAAAGCATGCTGTTGAAATGTAGTGTTATGTATGTAACGTGATGAGTCATTTCTACCCTCTAACAGCTGTTTCCTTTTGACACAGTGTCAGAGTGCATGAAACAGCCTCAAGGTCATGCATTCGCTTCTAAACTGTTTACGTTCCAGCAATGAAGACAGAAGAACGAAGAATGAACTCTTTTCTTTTAATTAATCAAAGAACTCTATTTTAATAAAGCTAATCCATCAGTGTTAGTCAATATAATAAGATGTGACCGACCTGTGAAATTAAAATACTAATTACTAAATTATGATCCTAGAAAATAAGTCTGTGACTTTAAGGATTCCAACAGGACTCATTTCACGTAGTGTTAAAAAGACATAACACATTCTTTCACTGATCCAATCATAACCTTACAGATCTGACGGAGGCGTGCTTCTGACGGTGTTTGGTCATTTTCATTCGACAATAAACCATAACATCCGAGGTATAAAACAGATGCCACGTCAGCTCTAACCTAAGTTCAAGAGTTCCAGAGCAAGCGTCGGAGTGGCCAATCCGACCTTTAACTCTTCAACCGAAAGAACCAAGACAAGCTGAAAAATCCAGTCGCTATAACAACCAGCGGCAACCACAGCTCCTTTAAGAATAAAAGCTCCACCGACCCAGGCTGGGTCTGAACAGACGCCAATAAAACAGCCGTGTGCCGGAGGTAACTCAAGACGGGTCTGGTCGGAACCGCGACTTTTTCTACCAGCTCGGTTTCCAGAGAGGGTCCGCTGGGCCTCGACATTCCTGATCTACCAGAGGACTTCCCCAAGGCAGGTAGACCCGGCTTGATGGTGTCTCATGCAGTTCTGAAACTAACCCAAGCTTATTTCAAAACAACATCTTCAGTTCCCGTCAGAACTAATCGCTTCTTTGGATTTGCTGGTTCTGATTTACATGACACGTCATCCATTCACCGTCTCATCCATTTTTAGTTACACTGTACACTTAGTTCTGAAGTCAGCCTAGTTTAAAGAGCAAGTAACGTCTACATCAACTTTTTTTTGCTGATGAACTGTATAAATGAGTGTCTAATAGTGTTTTAAATGTGTGTGTATTCATCATTTTAGCATTTTGGTGCATTTTCTTTAAAAATTAAAAAATCTGCCTAAATACCACAGTATAGTGCCACCTTCAGCTTAAAACATAGAGTTTGAGCCATTTTGAATACACTTTAGCCAATGGCTAAAGAGAAAGATACTACGTAAACCAGTAGAGTACTACGTAGCAGCTCTGTGTCAAAGTTATAAAAGCATCGAGAGTCTCGGCCACGCCTTGTGGCGAGTTGGGAGTTGGATTTGCAAGCGAGTGTCGGATGGTTAGCGGTAGTTCAGCATTAGCATACAGCATTAGCATATCCTAATCTTTAGCATATCTTTTAGTGTTATACATACTTATTTAGTGTTAGCTTGGCTGTTGGATATTGTAGTTTAGTTAGTGTTTAGCTGTTAGTGTGATTAGGAAAGTAGTTCGGGTTTAGTGCTCCTATCGTGTTAGTATGGTGAGAGGGTGTAGTGTCGTGGGTTCGGTGGCTCTGTGGGGTTGCACTCCTTTCCGCTGGACTTAGAAATTAGGCGCCAGTGATTGCGCGTAATCGATGTACTGGAAAACAGTCAGCTCCCGCCTGGTGCTGTAGTTTGCAACCAGCATTTTACCCGCGATTCCATCGCCAACAT